ATCGGTTAACCCCAATAATAATACATCTGAGGAAATAAAAAGGCGAATAATAATTGCAAACAGGTGTTATTATGGTCTATCAAAGTACTTAGCTAACAAACGTCTGTCTCAAAAAACTCGTATAAGGCTGTATAGAACACTGATAGTCCCCGTTCTCACATACGGATCAGAGGCATGGACGCTAACGAAAACAGATGAATCCGCTCTATCCATTTTTGAAAGAAAGGTGCTACGCAAGATATTTGAAGCGGTCTGTGAGAACGGAATATGGAGGCGTAGATATAACTTCGAACTGCAGAATATCTACAAGCATACGTTTGGTGGTAAAGATATTATACCACTATAATTAAGCGAAACCGCCTGCAGTGGGCAGGACATGTAGCCCGGGCCCCTGAATCGAACATGATAAAAAAGATTCTAACAGCGCAAGCTGTGGGAATGAGACGACGGGGTAGACCAAAGCTGAGGTGGATTAATGGGGTAACACAAGATACGGAGAAGATCGGATTCGGCAACTGGAAAATTCAAGCAAGGGACAGAACAGAATGGCGTAGAAAGCTTGAGAAGGTCGAGGCATTCTAAGGGCTGTAGCACCAGGATGATGATGATCATGATAAAATTTTTCATCTTAGTCCCGTTACTTAACCTAAAAATGGTGTATTCAATCCAAATTCCTTAAAACCGAATCGATTTTTCGAACAATTTAGAATTAAGCTCCTTTTAGCCTTCATTTCAAGTTATATACGCGCGAAATTTGCTTTTTGTTTTAAGGTTATAAAAAGAACTCCTGAATTAGGAAAGTATAAAAGAATAAATTTAAACAATATACTATTATACAGGATTGAATTATATTTAAATACTATACAGGGTAGGAATTCAATTTTTTTAAATATAAAAACACTTCAGGATATTTCCCTATAATTAAAATCTGATAAATAGGATTATTAATCAATTTTTTTTCAACAAACTTACGTACAAATGTTAAAGTTTCTACCCATTAGTGTATGTACATTAAGACATTTTTGGCATTAATAATATTTGCAAGTCAATAATAATTAGGATTATCAAAATTAACCTATCCTGTAGCCAAACAGTTTTTTTGTCGGATTGCACAAGAAAAGCTTTCCGACAACTAGATAGTATGGAGACGCCATTTTTCTAGCTATGTTATGACGATTCAATATGTTTTGACTATAATAAATATTTTATATAGATGGAGTAAACAGTATTTAACTAAAAAAATGAATGTAAAGTTCTTACTTTTAAGCCTAGAAACCTTAGATTAATGAAATCGTTTCATTAATCTAAGCTAGAAACTCAGAATTTTTATCATTTTTACTCAACCTGTACGCTCTCCATTTTTTTCATTAATTGTGGGATATCTTGTATATTATTATATCTATACAATAACGCTAACACTGTAATGCTGCTTTTTATATTTTGCGATGAACTGAGTTGCTACAATTCGTATTTTCTTTTAAAGAGCTTGGGCTCCTGGGCATCCGATTTTTGATACAGTTAATCATGATTGTGTTGTATTAGATAATAATAAATTTTGGAGAGTTGTGGATTGCAGAAGAAAATTTGCAGTAGTATGTGAGTTTTTTCCCGAAAAACCACAGCAAAAAGATCTAAATATTTGTAATAAAATAACTCAAAAAGGTTAGTATAAACATACGACAATTTTGTTTGTAAAATTGTTTTACCATTTAAGTGATGGATATTAAACTAAGTTTATCAAGACATGACTAAAATGTCTTATTATTATTTAAAATTAGTTGTATAGATTATTTAAAAAAATGTAGGTTTCTTCGTCCATTAGTAAATTTTTTTTTGTGTTTCTGTATACAAATTTGCCATAACATTGGGACAATTTGCAGCGTTTCTTTTACACTTATTTTAATCCATTTTATCTATTTTTCTTATAGGTCTTATTTTTGTCTCCATATAATAAAGGCATATTGGTATTGCTATAAAGATGTTAGTTATTTGCTTTTTCTTCATTTAGAAACGAAACTTGTAGTTCTTGTCCGACAAGCTATTTAACTTTTTATGTTCGAGTTTTACTATACATGTGAATGGGACCATAACAAAGTAATACAACCTTTTTATCTATCTTGTCTTTGTTATTTGGTTTTTTTACCTAATGTTTTGTAAGTCAAAGATCTCCCAGGCGAGCGTTTCTTTTTTCTATACCACAGTTCAAGATTAATCCAGATTGATTGCTACTTGCTATTCTAGATAATGCTATAATTACATCGAAATAATTAGTGCATGCTGCCGCAAAGGCATTCAATTAATCGGTAAGAAAAGTAACGAAACAAAACAAACATTAAAGATGATTTTACCTATACGTTCATAATCTAAAATCGTCAAAAGAGGAAGAGGAATTGGTGAAAGCAACCCTCTTGGTTGGAAAATATTTGAAAATGGACCGGGACAAGGAGAACAGAACAACTGTTTAAAATATAAGTTTAATCAACAACGTCAGGGGGACTTAAAATGGCACGTAAAGAAGACGTCCGTTGTTGATTTGACAAACTGTTTAACATTAACTAAGGTTAATTTCTAACGGCCAAGAAAAATGTCTGTCTAAAATCAGGAGAACGACTTTGCCCCGTGAGACGAACCACCGTCATTAATGATCAATTGCAGTCTCAAGAGCTACAAGACCTCAAGCAGATGATCATGTATAAAAAGAGTATTGGATTAGATACGTTGAAGTGAAAGACCTTCTTGGCAAGACATAAGTGCATGCAGTCCAGAAGTCAAGTGTTACTGGAGCCAATGAAATTCCCCAGTACTAAAATATGATCTTCTGTATAGAACCTTTGAGAACGATAATGGTATAGAATATTAGCTTCTTGTTAAGTTCAGGGTGCCGGAAATGTGAACTGTTTGCAACCAGTAATGGTCCAGTTGGTAAAAAGAGGACACTCATGAAACAGTACAATGTTGGTAGTCCTATGGAAATAGTAGCAATCGACATTGTAGGTCCACTTTCAGAGACGAATGATGGAAATAAATATATCCTGGTAGCCATGGATTATTTTACGAAATGGACTGAGGCCTATGCAATACCAAATCAAGAAGCTGCTACCGTTACAGAGCTACTTGTTAAATAATTCTTTAGCCGATTTGTTGTTTCCTTGGAGATCTACTCCTCGAGTCAAACTTTTTCCAAAACGCTTGTAAATTGATTGGTGTCAATAAAACTAGAACAACACCCCTGCATTCTCAATGAGATGAAATGGTCGAGAAGATAAACGGAACGATGGGTAAACACCTGTCCAAAGTTGTATCAGAATATCAAAGAGATTGGGACCAGCACATTCATTTATTTTTACTGGCCTACTGCTCGGCCGGGAATGAAACTACAGGCCAGACTCCAACCTGCCTGATGTTAGGTCGTTAAGTTTGTTTGCCTGCGACCTAGAGTTTGGCTTCAGACCTTCGGAAGAATATGTTGCAAGCTAAGATTATATCGACCACCTGCAGTTAAGAATGAACAACATTCATAAGCTTGCCCGAAAACACATCTAATTAGCCAGTGATAGAATGAAAGATCAATATGATTATCGATGCAAGAATGAAAGCTATGAAGTAGGTGATCTTGTTTTGCTTTATAATCCACAACGTTGTCGAGGCTTGTCTCCTAAACTGCAAAGACAATGGGAAGGTCCGTATGAAATTAAAAAGAGAATAAATGACGTAATATATCGAATTAAGAGGTTGCCGAAAGGTAAACCAACAGTAGTTCACATAAATCGTCTTGCGTTTTATGCTGGTTCAAATGAAACAGAAGAAGAACGAAACCTTCAACATGAGATCAAAGATGACCGGCGACCAAGCTTTAATGAATTTATGTCAAATTACGCAGAGAGAAATAGTATTAGATTCGAGGTGACCACAGAAGTTTAGCAGATCTTTTTAGTGTTCCGGATAACGTCTCTCTAGCCCACTGTATTGTCCAAGATCTTAAGATGACTAAAGGAATCTCATCTGTATTTTATAAGAAGTTTGGTCGTTTGGACGAGTTAAAAAATCAGCAGCCTTAATTTGGAAGAGTACTGAAATTAGAAGATGGTCCTCCATCTTTACTGTATATGGTAACAAGGAAGTCGTATATACACAGGGCATGCTACGAGGATGTATGGCGTGCTCTAACTAATTTAAAGAAAATCGTGTGCAATTATAACATCAAGAATTTGGCTTTACACAAGATAGGCCATGCACTAGAAAATCTAGATTGAAAGATTATCAGAAGCATGCTTGAAGTTATCTTCCGAGAAACCGGCGAACGAATTACTGTGTGTTGCATTAATCCGAAGAGATTGTGTGTTTCAAAGATAGTAGACTGTTATTTCTTTCTGAGGGGTTCATGCAGAGCTGGAGAGTCCTATAGATTCCGCCATACTGGGCTTTCATGTAAAGTTGCTAATCGAGACGTTCAGATCTAAGAGGGGAGTAGTATAACGAAATCGCCCATCTCCGATGCGTGGTACGTGTCACAGTTCTTAGAAGTATGGATCGAGAATATTCGATCATTGGCATTTATAATATGAAACGAATATAATATGAAATGGAACTTATAAATAAATATATTTATATAAATTAGAACCGCTCGTTTTATTTAAAACAGTACATTAATAATGTTTCTTTTGGACTCCTCTATGGTTGCTTATAATCTGTATTTTAATTTTAGTTGGTAGTTGTCAAAACTAAACAACGGTTCTTAATACTTTTTTTGATACTTGCTTCACTGATATATAATAGTTTCGCTTTTTAATTTATTTGTTAATTTTTAGCAAAAAGACGCAAATGTCTGAAGCAACAAAAACATATGGCATCCACTATGAAAAATTTAACCAGAGCTGAATATTGTGCTATTCAAAATGCGTTTTACGATACAGACAACAATAATAGAGAAGAACAAAGAAATGTTGATTTTGTGTGATTGTACAAAATAAAATCTAACAATTATATTAAAGCTATATTTATTTTATTTAATAAAAAATAAGCACACAAAAAATACTTATTTAGATCCTTCAGACTGTTGCACTAAGCTGTAGAATATTCCATTTGTATTTGTAAGTAACGTTGAAGGGGCATCAAACTCCTTTATTTCTCCTCTATCTAAAACCATAACCCTGTCAGACTTTATAATGGTGTCCAGTCTGTGAGCTATAGTCAAAACGGTACAATTCTTGAAATTTTCTTCTATAATTTTGTACAGCATGGCATCTGTTTCGTGATCCATGTTTGCAGTTGCTTCGTCTAAAATAACAATTTTATTCTTTCTTAATATCGCTCTGGCTACTGAAATTAATTGTCTTTGCCCGGAACTGAAGCTTGAGACATAACCTTTTACGTTGTGATCTAAATCAGGAATAATATCTCTAATGCCTACTTTTTCCAATGCACTCCACAGTTCCTGGTCGTTGTATTCATTAAATGGATCTAAATTTGTACGAATTGTTCCGGAAAACAGAATTGGATCCTGAGGAATAATTGCAATCTTCTTTCTAAGAAAGTTTAAAGATAACGTCTTGATTTCCACGCCATCTATAAAGATATTACCTTCTGCTTCGTAAAGTCTAAAATAAAACAATAATTAATAGCTATATCATTAATTGAAGACACAAGTGTATGAAGGGTCTATGTGACATTTTTTACAAATTACGTTTTTTTTAAACACGTTTTAAAATTAATATTTGCTAAGTTACTAGAGTGTAAAGAATCTATGTACACAGTAAATTTTAAAATGTAAGTTCATAAATGATCTGTGTACACAATATGTTACTTATATCCCCTCTCCACTGAAATTTCTATGGATTTGTTGTACATGGATCCTTTATGCCTGAATAATCGAGCAAAAAGACAAAAGAGGGAATGTAATCGTTATAAAAAGGAGACCAAAAAAGTGGCTTTGATGGCGGACATATCCGGAAATGCGAATGCGCCAGATTTAAATTTTTCGACTCTTATTAACAGTTACTATAAAAGTTTTCAGAATGTGTCTTAGACGAGAAACTTTAAATACATATTAAACGATAACAGTCCAAAATGTGACACAATTGTTAAAAAACTTCAATATAAATAAGATTTCATGTGACAGTTGGGACAAACAATAACATAACCTAACTAAATTTTATTTCTTAAACAAGGAAAGACTCTCTTTCCTTGTTTAATGTGGCCTCTCAAGATTGCACTTTCTGTCTGATAATATTTTTGCTCCCACTACCTTTACATTTCCTCTTTTTTCTTTTTGCTCGATGGCCTGAATCATCGAGCAAAAAGACAAAAGAGGTAATGTAAAGGTAGTGGGGGCAAAAATATTGTTAGACAGAAAGGGCCATGTTGAGGGGCCACATTAACAAGGAATGTCTCTTTCCTTGTTTATGACATCAAATTTAGTTGGGTTATGTTATTATGTGTCCTAGATATATCCTAAGAGAAAAATATTTTTTGATTTATCCGAACAAAAATGTAGAACGAAAAACACACGTCACCGCAGAAGATACATTTATGCTTTCTCGAGGCAATGACATCTACAGCGGACACATTGGACTGAAAATGTAGCCACAAAGGCCAGCTTAGAAGAAAGTAGTTCTCTGCACACATTTGTGCGAGTGTTATCCAGTAGAAACAAGAAAATATATCATCTTATCATGTGGTCTAATTCTTGTGCTGGCCAGAACAAAAACTTTAATCTGATATGTCTATATCAATATCTTATTTTAAAAAAATATGTTAGGGTTATAGACAATAAGTTTCCGGAAGTAGGACATTCCTTCCCAGATTCTGATAGAGATTTTGGAGTAATCGAGAAAAAGCTAAGAAAAATTGAGAATTTGTTAAGTCCAGATCAGTATAAAGACGTTATTCGGGAATCGAGTAAGAAAGGATCGATTGTTATCAACATGGAAAATCACTTTAAAAATATTAAAGAAATTGGAAACAATTTTTACATTTATTTAACCGAAAAAAGGATTCTAACAAATATATGTACAAAAATATGATGAATATATGTACAAAAAAACACTAGATCCATTTACACCTTTCCGAAAAGCAGGTAACCGTAAAAATACACAAGTAGTAACAGAACCAGAATTAGTTTACTGGTAATGGCTAACAAAACAAACACTTTGACCGAAGAAAAAATTAACAATTTAAAGCAACAGTTAATTTTTGTTGATGAGGCTTATAGACATTTTTACACCAAGTAAAGTAACAAGATGCAGATCTAGACAGAAAACCAATTACTAGGCGAAGAACACGTTAAGGTTTCTTTGTAGTGAAAATCAAGTTTTTTTTTTTAATTTGATTTACTATCATTTTGATTTTATAAAAATTGTACCAAGAAATAGATATTGTATATTTTATTAATAAACAAAAACAATATATTGTGTTATTTTTGTTATTGGTTACATATTTCCTTTATGCATTTAAACAATTTGGTACTTCTGCTATTTACTCAGTGGATCAAGGAACTAAGTACCTTCTAAGTTCTAAAATTGTTTCTAATAATAAATGTGTTTTTTCTTTAATATTATTAATAAATATATTAGTTTTAGGACTGCCTATCCTATAGATTTAGTTTATTTGAATCTTATAGTTTAAAAATTCTAGTATAAAAACTTTAATTTCATTTTCCTCGATAACTTACAAATGTCACATAGACCCTTCATGCACTTGTGTCTTCAATTATAAATATTGTTACGACAGTTCCGCGAAATTTATTTTATATAGATAAAGTCCATTGTCGAAAAAGAGGAAGTATTAAAAATATCTAGAATTTTCGAGATGTCATCGAAAGTCCCGAACTGTTTAGTGATGTCTGGAACGTCAGAAAATGTATATGAACACACGAAGTTGACAGTTTAAGTAACAGTAGTATTTTGAATAGTATTATTCAGGAAGATATTGTAATATTGTTGGTGTTTGAACAAAAGAATTTAAAGAAGTGTAACAATATATTATATTAACATTATACCTAAAAATTGAAGCGATAATTGAAGACTTTCCAGCTCCTGTTCTTCCAACTATTCCAATTTTCTCCCTTGGCTTTATTTTGAAGTTCAAATCCTTTAATACCATTTCATTATCGTTGTATGTAAGAGATACTCTTTCATATACGATGGATCCTTCTGACGGCCAATTTTGAACTATTCTGCCGTCCGTTGGTTCCGATTTAATGTGAGTATATTCCAGAAGACGTTCCACCGATGTCATGTAACTTTCAAGATCAGCCCATTGTCGGACACCCCATTCAACTTCTCCCGATAATGCTATGACCTGGGTTATCGCCAATCCAACATCGCCAGCAGTATTGTCTAGAAATTTATAGATATTAGAATATTTATAATTGTACAAGCTTAGTCTTGTTTAAAATTTTTAATAAACTGTAGCTGGTTTACACTTTTTGTCACATCTGATTAAAAAATTGTATTGGAACTTACTTTAGAGACATTTATAGATTTGTTTTATCTTTAACAAAGGCTCAACTATCGACAGATAAAGTTTTACTATTAAATTAATAATTAGTCCAGTACTTGATTTAATTGGTTTTGAAAAAACATTAGAATTCAATAATTACTATTATCCAATAGGGAACTTGCATAAAATTTTAAATTCGAAAAAATGCTTTAAATCATAACAAAACATAATTTAAAATATATATCAAACAAAAAAAAGTTGTTTTTGTCTTTAGTTTGGCCCCTAAAAACGATTAAAATCGAGAGAAAATTCAAATTATAGCAGCCAGTCCAAAACGCGTCCTCATTGGTCGTGACGTCATATAGTCAGAATGTTCAAAGATTGGCACTATTAATTCATTACGTTTGACATTCGTTTACTTGTTATAGTAATTTTATGGTGTATTTCAGTTTTATAAATCTTTAGATAGTTGCTGTGAACTATATATTTAATAATATTTGAGTGTTTTTGTTCAGATATTTTTTTTAAAATGACCGAAGAGGGTTTTTCCAAAGGCCAGTCTGATAACTTGCCCATTGTAAATATGTTTATGGTAGCCACATATTTTCAAAACGGTGAAAATTTTTCCCTGGAGAAGTTCGGGGAGTTAAAGCAGATAAGTAAGTACATATACTCCTATTACATTAATTTTATTGTGATTATTATTCTCATAATAAGTATTTAATGATAAAACTTAGTACTTTATATTAAGTAGTGTCAATATTATATGTTTATGCTATTGTACTGAAATTTAATCAAATTAACTTATTCATCGTTTGCATTTAGATCTGGCAGAGAATCATATGGAGATGCAGCTGTAGGATGGGTTCAAGTAAAAAGAAATAACATGATCTGTACTGTACTGGTAATCTAATAAATATTTTGTTGGGGGTTTTAGTGGTTGTACTTTTACACAATGGTACTAAACAACACTTGTAGTATTTACTTTTACTTTCCATAGTAAAAACACACACAATTCAACACTCTATTCAAAAACTGTATCAAAAACCAATATAAACAAAATAGTTTATACTTTTATACAAGACAGGAGACCTGACATACAGACAATACCACCAAGTGACGTCACAAGGGTTCGCGCGCTTTTTCGATCGTTTGAAATGATTTTTATACACGGAAGATTTTAAATTTGTATTGCTAAGTCATTATGAGTTTTTGAGGCGTGAAATTTTGGAAATCTTATTTTTAAATGAAACTGAACGTTATTATATAATAAAAAATGTGCAAGTTCCCTATTAGAATAGGGAGGCTCATATTCTAATTGGATACCATTTGATACTTCGCTTAGAAATGTATTTGTTGTGACTTTTGTCTCCTCCAAAATACAAAACATTAACCATTAATGTTTCTGATGGGGAAATCGAAATGCCAAAAATAAACTTATTTTAAACTTAAATTGTGGCTTATTCCTAATAAATAGTAAGTATTAATCATAATTATATCAATAGCAATTGCATTAGGATGCACAAGAAAATAGCCTCAGAACAATATTAAAAGTATATTATGACCTTTTTTGTGCATACACTCTTACTTCTTCTTCTTCTTCTTTTTATGTAGACATGACTCTGTCTGTTTTTAAAATGTGCTTTCAGTAAGTTGTCATTCCATTGTTTTCGTGGTCTTCCTATTGGGGAACCGTGTCTTGCCGTCTTTACTACATACTCTATTTGTTGTAATTCGGCATATACGATCGTTCCATTCTACTCTTCTATTTCTTACCCAGTTCTTGATGTTCTTCGCCTTGCATCTACGTCGTATATCTGTACTTCTAGCTCTGTGATATAGTGTCTTGCCATCAATGTTTCTAATTGTTTTCATCTCTGCTGTTTCTAACATCGTTTTGTCTTCTCTGTCAGGTAGTGTTTCTGTCGCGTATGTTATTATTGGTCTAATGACTGTTTTGTAAATTCTGCCTTTCATTTCTTTCTCGATATTTTGATTTTTCTATATTGTTTCATTCACGCAGTCTGTGGCTCTGTTTGATCTATTCACTTTATCTTTCACTTCAGTTTCGAGCTTTCCGTCGCTAGATAATGTGATGCTTAGATATTTAAAATCAGTCACTGGTTGTATTATCTGATCTTTCAGCTCCAATTTACATCTTAGTAAATTTGCTGTTGTAACCATGCATTTTGTCTTTTTTTGGGGGAATTAACATGTTAAATTTTCTGGCGGTTATATTAAATTGGTGCAGCATACGCTGTAAATCTTCACTTTGAGAGGGTATTATTGCGTCGTCTGCATAGCAGATTATTTTAAGTTGTTTTTCTTCCATTTGGTATCCTTTTTTAGTTCTTACAGTTTTTATTATTTCATCCATAATCTGGTTGAACAATAGAGGACTCAGGGAATATCATCAAGCAAAAAGACAAAAGAGGGAGTCTAATCGTTATGAAAAGAAGACCAAAAAAGTGGCCTCTGATGGCGGACATATCCGGAAATGCAAAGGCGCTAAATTTAAAATTTTCCGACACTTATTAACAATAGCTAGCTATAAAATATTTTTCAGACGAGAAAGTTTTGATTAAATATTAACGATAGTAGTCTAAAATGTGACACAATTGGTAAAAAACTTCAATATAAATAAAATTTCATGTGACAGTTGGGACAAACAATAACATAACCAAACTAAATTTAATTTCTTAAATAAGGAAAGACTCTCTTCCTTGTTTAATGTGGCCTCTCAAGATGGTTCTTCCTGTCTAAAAATATTTTTGTCCCCACTACCTTTAAATTCCCTCTATTGTTTTTTTACTCGATGGGGAATATTCCTCTCTTATCCCATTGTCAGAGGTAATCTAGAGGTACCTCTCTTGTGTACGTATAAGTGGATAACATCCTTTAATTTAACCCGGTCAAACACCTTCTTAATGTCCACGAAACATAGATATGCCGGTTTTTTGTATTCTAATGACTTCTCTTGCACTTGCCATATTATAAATATAGCTTTGGTGCATGATCTTTCCGACCTGAAACCTTGCTGTTCTTCTGCTAGTGTTATAATTTCATTCAGTTTATTTGTTATCGCTTTGGTTGTTAATTTTAGTATTGTGTTTAATAAATGAATTCCTCTGTAATTTCCGGGGTCCGATTTGTCTCCCTTCTTGAAGAGAGGTATTAGGATGCTTGATCTTCATTCTTGAGGAATTCTGTTTTGTTTTAATATTTTTTGGATTAGTTTTTAACAGTTGTTTGTTCAGATCTGATCCTTCGAACTTTAGGAGTTCGTTCGGTATTCTGTCCATCTTAATTAATTTCCTTAATGCTTCCTTTACCTCTTCCTCCTCAATATTTATTTCTTTCTATTTATTTCTAAGTCGTGTTTCGTCTGTTTTAGGAAGCTCTGCCAGTGTTCCTTTTTTTATTTGACTAACTAAAGTATTCGTTTTATTTCCGATTCGTTTATAGTGGTTATATGCCTGTTGTGTTTATGGTGTTCTGTATTGTAAAAAGGCTTTTTTTCTTCACATTTTGTCTTCAGTTCCTCTCTAAACCATGGTATTTTCTTTTTTAATATGTTAGTGTTTGTTTCTTTTCTCTCTAAGTGATCCTGTTGCTGCGTTAATTATGTTATTTCTGAGATTTTCCCAGCTTTTCTGATTTTGTTATTTTTAATAGTGTCCATTGCAGAATTTTTTGATAACTCAGGTTCACGGTCATATTATTATTACCAAAATTTGTTGTTTCGGGATACACATTAACTTTTGTAATCTTTGGGTCAGCTACTAATACACTTAATTTATTTGACGCGAAAACAACTTGTGACGAATCGACTTTGAGGTTTCCACTGGGTGTTACTTTAAATGGGAAGCGATCACTGTTTTCTTGACTTTTCGGCGAGTTGAATTTTGGCATTCTATTCTCAGATATAACGTCAATTATTTGTGTCCAGGTCTTCTTTTTGATGGGAAAAAGAAAATCCGTATCTGTATAGGTTCCGTTGATACGTAATCAGGCAACTGTTGTTTTGAATATAAAAGCACCAAATTTTCGGAAGGAATTGTAGATGAGGCAGAATGGATATTAGCATAACCTTGTGGTAATTTGGTAAGGTTGGGAACCAAACTTCTGGTCTCAGCTTTTACAAAAGAATGGCGATGTCTAGATTGGCCTAATCCTCTGTCCAGTAACTTATTTGTCAAATTGCTCTTACAAATTCGTTCCCTCTTATTTTCCAAGCGTTCGCAAGGGAAAAGTCTGCTCGCTCTTTGGAAAACTCTTTACCATGATATTTTTAACCAGAAACTAAAATGTTTGTCAGTTTTTCCTTCTAAAAACACAATATTTCGCTCTGACTTTTTCAAAAAATGTATCATAAAACAACAGAAAATAGTTGTCCTATAACTCAGGTTCATGGGTCATTCTATTATTATTACCAAAATTTGTTGTTTCGGGATACACATTAACTTTTGTAATCTTTGGGTCAGCTACTAATACACTTAATTTATTTGACGCGAAAACAACTTGTGAGGAATCGACTTTGAGGTTTCCACTGGGTGTTACTTTAAATGGGAAGCGATCACTGTTTTCTTGACTTTTCTGATGTTATCGTGATCTAATATTTCATTTCCAGCGATCTTCTCTGAAATTCTTTTTCTGTATAAGTATTCCGTGGATTCTGTTTAGTCCCTTCGACTTTGGTTTTTGTTTATGTTGACGCCGCTTTCTTGGGTGTGAAGTATTTTAGAATGATTCTTATTTTACAGTAGGCAATGGTCGCTACCTATGGAATGGAATCGAAAAGGGATTTAATTTCGTGATAGTCAAAGTCTGCTAATTCGTCTTGTTCTTCAGGATTTACGAATATTGATAAGTTGTCTATATCTATGTCGTCATTCTCGATTGGGTTGACTTCTACTCGAGAAAGTGCGTCTGCATTTGTGTTTGCTTTTCCTTTTTTATAGATGATTTCGTGGTCATATTCTTCCAATTTGGAATTTGGTTCTTTGAGTGAAAATAACCATTGTAACGGTTTGTGATCGCTTATAATTTTGAATTTTACTCCAAAAAGGTAGGGTCTGAAATATTTGGTTGCCCAAACGATTGCTAAAAGTTCTTTTTCGATGGTACTATAATTAATTTCAGCAGGGTTCAATGTTCGACAAGCGCATGCGATTGGAAGGTCAGATCCGATGGGTCCTTGAAACAAGAAGGCTCTGATTGCGTAATTTGAAGCATCGGTTGTTAGGAGAAAAGGTTTAGAAAAGTCGGGATACTGTAGAATGGGGTCGTTTATTAATATTTGTTTACATATATTAAACACATTCACAAATTCTGGTGTATGTTTTACTTTTTGATTTTTCTTCAGGCAGTTTGTGAGTGGTTTAGTTAGTTTTGAAAAGTTTTTTATAAACTTCCGGTATTAGCTAACTAAGCCAAGTAAGGATTTTATTTCTTTTGGATTTGTTGGGATGGGAAATTTTTCAGTTGCTAAAATTTTGTTTGGATTCGGTTTGATACCATCTGGGGTAATTACGTGTCCTAGGAACTCGACTGAGTCCTTAAGAAATTCAGATTTATCTAATTGAATTTTTAGATGTGCTTCTTTCAATATGTCAAATACTTCTTTTAAACTATTAATATGTTCCTGAAGGGAAGTCGAAAATATTATTATGTCGTCCATGTAGACAAGACATACTTTACCGATTAGGCCTTTTAAAATATTGTCCATAGCCCTTGAAAAGGTGGAAGGTGAATTTTTTAATCCAAACGGCATTCTAAGATATTCTTAATGTCCGTTTTCTACATTAAATGCTGTTTTAGCGATGGAGTCCCGGTGCATTTCAATTTGGTGAAAACCTGAAGCTAAGTCGAAGGTTGTAAAATACTGACATCTTCCAAGCTTATCCAGGATATCCGTAATATTGGGCAAGGGGTATCTGTCATCTATGGTTTTTTCATTAAATCCCCTAAGTTATCAACGTGGTTAAACCAAAACATTTTTTTTTTATTTTTTAGATACATTTTTTTATTTTTTTATGATGCATTAAACAATACATATAACCCTTATATTTCACCCTTCCATAAAGAACCACTTATTTTTAATAGCCATATGAGTGTCATAGAGGTAGTTTTCATGCTCTTTCAAAACAGCTTGACCGATTTTTATTAACTTTTATATGTATATGTATATATTTTATATCTATATTCGCTTGAATATACTACTCTGAATTTTCTTCCAGAAAAGTCGTTTTCGTTCAAATTAGTTGACACATTTAAAAATCAAAATGACGTAGTGAACTTTCCTACAGAGTTTTTAAATTTATTGGAATCGTCTGGACTTCCACCTAACAATTTACAATTAAAAGTAGGATCAGTTGTCATTATGCTTCGTAACATTAATTAACCTCGACACTGCTATGGAACGAGATTGACTGTAAAAAGGATTATGAGCAAAACAACCAACAAAACCAACCGTTGGAAGTTTGCAGAATTAACTTCCAACGTTTGGAGGTTCCATGTTTGGCGCATGGAAAATTATTTACGTGTCGGAAAACCGTTATCGTTATATATTTATAAAGCAAACAAAAATGAAAGTATCTTTTATCAGAAAGCATTAAATTTATTTGCATAATATAATTTATTTGCGTAATATATTTGAATGTTTTTTTTTGTTTTATTTTTTGGTAACTTTTTAGACAAATTATTTAATTCTAAGGCGGTACGAAGATCGCTGGGTCTCTTAGTCTATATATATATATATATATATATATAATATTATATATATATACATATATATATATATATATATAATATATATATATATATATATATATAATATATATATATATATATATATATTGTTATGATATGTAAAATCGAGGTTATAACCAACAGAGATGTGAGATGTATATCCCTGTTGGCTATAACATAATCTATCATAGATCATGTCAACGGATGTTATTAAATGTATATTTGTGTTGGTCTTTGTGGTCAAAAAATGTGTTGTTTATTCTGTTCGTTATTCGTGCATTCGTGCATATACTCGGAAGTATAATTATTATTGAATAAAAATCTTACCTGCATCGATGAAAACTAAAGTAAGTACAACAATACATATAAAAATACTGCATACAAAATCCATCGAGAATCCAAAAGCAGCTGTTGCACATTGCCATGCATAATGAGCAGAAGTGAACGTATCTTGGTACCTATCATACTCGTCTATTAATGTTTTTTCAACTTTATATGCCCTTATTGTAGTGAGCCCTTCTAATGAAGCGTTTATGTGACCAACCATGGGACTTCTGGCTAAAATATAGAATGAGTTCTTAGGTTAGTCCACAGTCATTTGAACAGTTGAATAAGGTCAGTTGTATTAGGCTAGGAAAAACAGTTATCCTTTTAGTATATTTTGTATAAGTAAATATTAACTTAATTACTATTTAACTGGGAATAAGCCACAATTAAAGATAAAAATACGTTTATTGACGTTTCAATTTGGACCTCGGAAATTGTTCTCAAAATGCAAACAGTATTTTGAGAACGATTTCCGAAGAGGAAATTGAAATGTCAATAAACGTATTTTTATCTTTAATTGTGGCTTATTCCCAGTTAAATAGTAATTCATTTAAAATGCCACAAGAAAATAGCTTCAGAACAATATAAGTATTAACTATCAACAATATAATACCAAATTTTAGACGAGAACATAGGTTAAAGACGATATTAAAAGATATACATATCAAGACATATCATAAGGGGCGAGCGTTACAACTTGCTGAAATTAATAATACAAAGAAGGATACAGGGTAGCAGAAGTGGTGGAAGAAGGTGCATCTCCTGATTAAACAATTTGAGAGCTTGGTTTAACTACACTTGTGTTGTTTCCTTTAGAGCAGCGATATGACAGTGCGAATTACGATGATGATTGCTTACCTTCTTAGGGAAGATGTTCTTCTTAATTAATTGCATTATTATGGTTGTAAACTGATTTTATTTACAACTCTGTAATTTTTAAAGTATTCGTAAAATATAATCTTTGTTGAAAATAAGCAAATTTTCATTTTTCAGTACTTCTGTCAGTCTTCTCTTATTGACAAAGCTGGGTTCTTCCAAAAAAGTGCTTTTTTTTTAATAAATTTTATTTATAGTACAAAGATATTTTAAAATCAAACTTTTTACAGATGAAATTGTGTATATTGCACTTCTTAAATTTTTTTTCAAAATGACGGCTCTAAAAATGGCTTCACATACTCGTCCAAAATGTCATTTCTTTTAAACGAATCATCCGAAATCAAAAAACGAAATGTTTTTGGATTTTTGATGATTTAATGATTTGATGATTTGATGATTGATGAAATTTTTGAAATGGTTTTATACTCTTTGTTGACAGTTCTTTCGGTACTTGTAACGTAAAGTATCTAAATACAAGAGAGCAGGAAATTACAAAAGAGCTTGTAGAAAAAATATAGACATATGTGCACTACAAGAGACGAAGAAAGAAGGAGAAGTTCAAATTATGCTAGATGACATATATCTGATAGTTTGCAATCAGTGGTGTTGCCAAAGAAACCAGAACCAAAGAAGAAGTCACTCTGTTAGTATACAGAAAATTTTTGCCAAATGCAATAATGCAAATATACCCCCGAAAAAATAGTTAATGTAAAAGTTAAACTGGATGTCAAACCTGTAAATGTGATAACAATCTATGCACTATAGAACAACAGAGATACCACTACAAGAGAAAATTTCTGAGAACACCTTCAGACTGTAATAAACGAGACCCTAAATGATGAATATATAATCATTACGGGTGCTTTTAACGCCCGTGTTGACAATTATATCGTTCCAGGAATAAAACAGCGATACAATGAAAATATCAGAAATGAAAACGGACGGACCTCTGCAGCATAAACAAAATTCTTCTTCTTCAGATGCAAATCCACTAATGGATGTTGGCGATCACAATTTCCATTAATTCTCTATTTCTTGCAATACGTATCAGATATTGTATGTCGTTAATCCCTGTCCATTGCCTTATGTTTTGGAGCCAGGACATTTTCTTGCGTCCCATTCCTCTCTTGCCTTCAATTTTACCCTCGATTATAAGTTGGAGGAATTGGTATTTTTCATTTCGCATGATGTGACCTAGATACGCCGTTTTCCTTTTCTTGATGGTTTCAAAAAGTTGGCGTTCTTGGTTTATTCTTTTAAGTAGATCTATATTTGTGATTTTCGCTGTCCATGGTATTTTTAGGATACGGCGATAAAGCCACATTTCGAAAGCTTCTAATCTGTTTATATCCCTTGTTTTGAGTGTCCAGCCCTCTACGCCATACAGCAGCACTGACCATACGTAGCACTTAGTAAACCTTAGCCTCAGTTGAAGATCGAACTCTGAACAAGTCAGTACCTTCTTGAATTTTACGAAAGCTTGTTGAGCTTGCTCAATGCGATATTTTACTTCCCTGTCCAATGCCCAGTCTTCAAAAAGCCACGATCCCAGGTATTTAAATTTACTCACTCTTTCAATGGACTTAGTATTCAGTGTTATGGTGGAGTTTTCAATGTGCATTGGTTGATTCCCATCTCTGCATCCTCCAAAGACCCTTGAAATATGGCTTCCGAATAAATGTTAAATAAAAGAGGGGAAAGCACACATCCCTGTCGAACGGCTCCTCTTATATGTATGGGTTTAGATATATAATTGTCTATTTTTAACTGTGCCGTTTGATGCCAGTACAAGTTTTCAATGTATCTTATGTCTTTTTGGTCTATATCAACTTTCTTGAGAATCTGCATTACCTTGTGGTGTTGGACACGATCAAACGCTTTTTGGTAATCTAAAAAGCATAGGAACACATCCTCCCTCTGATCGTAACAATTTTGGACCAGCACCTGTGTTGCTACTATTGCTTCTCGGGTTCCTAAACCTTGCCTAAACCTGAACTGGGAATCACTGATATTCACATTTTTTGTATAATCTTTGATGCAGTATTTTTAAAAATATCTTTAAAGTGTGACTCATCAGGCTAATGAGTCTGTGATCCTCACATATATTTGCATTGACTTTCTTGGGCAGGGGAATAAAGGTAGAGCGTAACCACTGTTGAGGATAGCAGCCAGTTTCATAAATTAAATTAACTATTTTGTGTAGTGTTGAAATTCCCCTTTCATCTAGTAATTTGAGTATTTCTGACGGGATTTCATCTGGTCTAGGTGCCTTATTGTTTTTTGAATTTAATATTGCCTTTTCTATCTCCTCTTTGGGGATTGATGGGCCAGTCAGCTGGTCGTCTGTATAAAGTTCACTCATGGGTCTTTCGTCATGGAAGAGCTCCTGGATATAATTTTCCCATATATCAATTTTCTCCTTTTCACCCAGCACTATCTGGTTATCCTGATTAACTATGGTAGTTGATCTTTATTTTCTGTATATTCCAGCAGTCTCCTTAAGCTTTTTATGTAAATTCATTTTTTGCTATTCTTATTTTTGCTTTTATTTGCCTGTTAATGTTTTCATACATATTGCTGCCATCTTGGTCATTCTTGTGTCTTCGTTGTTCTTCCATTAGTAATATTATTTCTTCTGTCATCCATTTTTGCCTCTTGTTATTTCGTTTGTATCTTAAGTTGTTTTTCATGATGTCTGTTACAGCACTTGTAATCGTATTCCATGTTGGTGTTAGATCTTCGGTAATGTTTGTCGTCAATATTTGAATTGGTGCGTTTATTTCATTGCTTATTTTTGCTTGTATCATTTCGTCTTTCCGTTTATCCAGTGCTATCTGTTGTTGAGTTTCAGGCTTGTTCTTGCATGAAAGAGCGATCTTTATGACGGCCACTAATAGTACGTGGTCAGAAGGGGACATCTGCTCCAGAGTATGTGCAAGCTCTTTTGACGGTTGTGCTGAATCTACCGTTGATAAGAATAAAGACTATCTGATTTCTTATTATGTTCTAAGCTCTATCAACTGGAGATTTCCAAGTATAAAGGCGACGGGGGTGGAGTTGGAACCATGTGTTGTTAACTCTCATGTTTTCTTCTTGACAAAATTGTATGAGTGGGTATAAACAAAATACGTATTAATAATACATTTTCCCCCACAAAGAACAAAACAAATATACTTTTAAAAACAGTAGAGGACAAAGATCTATGATATACTATATTCTGTCAAATAGAAAATTAAAGTACTCTCAAATTTTGGATGTAAGAGCACTATCATCAGCAGAAATAGGAAGCGATCATAAATTGGTATTGTGCAAATTCTGAATGAAAACACATATATGTGATAAGAAAACACCAGAATACGCCACAAAGATAAGAGTAGAAACTTTACAAGATCCAAAGTTCAAAAAAGAATAACCGAGAAAAGCAGAAACACATATATTACAGAAAGTGATGGAGTCGAAGAAAGCTGGACAAAAATCAAGTCTAATATCTTAGCCTCGGCCAAGGAAGTTCTTAGTGAATGAAATATAAATATAAATAAATCGTGTCCAAGGTAAAGAACTCCATGGTTTTGTACAACAGTGATGATCACTAGGAACACTTTTCAAAATAAATGGAACACGATTTTTATGTTCTGCAAGGAAATGTGGCGCTTCATAAGAGGTCAAAGATCGGAGGTAAAGTAACTAATAGAACCAAAACACATACAAAAGGATACATGGATTGACTACCTAAAAAGCTCTATGCAGAGGAGGAACAAACGACGCTAGAACCGGAAACACCAGTAATTACTAAAAAAATATAAATGTACAAGAAGTTCGGAAAATGCTTAAAAACCTGAAGAACAGAAAAGTAGCAGGTAAACGGGATACCAAACGAATTACTAAAATATTGTGGAGTAGCAATTACAGAGCAATTAACAACATTAATTAATAAAATTACAAAACACAATAAAATACTGCAAGAATGGAAAACGAGCGAACTAATTCCACTATTCAAGAAAAGAGATAAAAACAACAAGAAAACTACAGAAGTATAAACTTGTTAAATACTACCCCAAAATAAACTAATATTCTACAATTGCTAATAATTCAGTGGATAACTGTAGTAGATGAACAACAGGGTTTTCTTAGTAAAAGATCGTGTATAAGTGCAATATTCGTTATAAAGCAAATTACTGAGAAATTACTAGAGTAATGGATCAGCATTTATTTGTCTGATTAAGCTAAAGGAAGCGTTTGAGATAGTAAGACTCAAAGATGTAATCCATCTTCTGTATAATAGAGAAGTTCCCCTAAATATTATAAATACTATCGAAAACATCTACCAAAATATCAAAATGAAAGTTAGAATAGATGGACAACTTATAAAACCTACAAAAATAGGCAGCGGAATAAGACAAGGCTATTTATTAAGCCCCATGCTCTTCAATTTGATCCAGGATGAAATCATCAAAAACGTTAGCAAAGAAAGAGAATACAGAATGGGAAACAGAGAAATAAAAATACTCTGTTAAGCAAACGACGCAATAATAATAGCTCAAGATGAAGATAGTCTGCAAAGACTGGTCCACAGATTTAACATAAGAGCAAAAGAATTTAATATGACAATCTCATCTCAGAAAAGTAAAACAATAGTAGTTAGCAAAGAAGCAACCAGATGTAAAATGGAAATTGATGGCATCAGTATTGAACAGGTATTAGAAAATAAAATACTTGGGAATTACACTGTCCAGCTATGGAGATCTGGACAAAGACGTGAGAGATCAATTGCACAAAGCAAATAGACTGGCAAAATGCCTTAATAACACTATATGGCGAAACAGATACATTAACACTGAGTCAAGAATTTATAAAACCAGTGCAAGACCAATATTGACATGCCTCAGAAACAAGACCCGACATAGCCACAACGCAAATGCTACTGGAAACGGCAGAGATTAGAATACTGAGAAGAATTACAGGAAATACGCTGAGAGATCGAAAGAAAAGTGAAGACGTGTGAAGAAAATGTAACGTACAGTGTATAAATGAAAGGACACGCAATACAAAAAAGAATGGGATAACTACATAAACAGAATGAAGGAGACCAGTGTTGTCAAAATAGCAAGAGATAAGTGACTAATCGACAGAAGAAGTATCGGACGACCACCAAAAAGATGAAGTGACAATCTTCCATAGAGGTATTAATCCGCCAATTAACAAGCAGAATTGCTTATAAAGATGAAGAAAAGGAAGAAGAAGTATTGAATTGGCTATGGTTGATACTACAATCAAACATTTTCACAGAAAAAAACACCATGGCGGACTTTTAAATTTTTCGACCCTTTTTTGCACTTTTTATTGTTTAGAACTTTTTTTAAATAAAAATAATTATTTTTGGTTGTAGTACCGACCATAGAGATATATTTAAAGAGTAAAATGCCGTTTGGTTCATGTTGATAAATGCAATAGTCTCGTAACATTGAAGCAATGAGTGCACTTAGTTAACAAAACGTGGTTTCGGGAAAATCTTATTAAAGTAGACGCTGCAGCACCCGGCCCGTTTGAGCGGCGAATTAACCGCTTCGCGTACACCGCTCTCTTCTCTACCTACTTCAAGATCGCGCGTGTCTTCGGAACTTGTAGCATTTGCAAATTCTTTGAAATATATATTGAAATATATCGAAATCCCCTCGTATTTGCTAAAATATCGAAGAATGATTTCAGTGTATTTCTTTTTACTTTCGTAACAGTTAAAATACCCGAAATATATTTCAATTCCTTTTTACGTCGGCTCGAGTTAATATAAACACATTTTAGAGTTTGTTTATATTTTACAGATGTGTACTTCCTCGGCATTTCTTTTGTGTTTCATATACAGGGTTTTTAATAAATATTTCCGTTAAGGCTGTTTTAGCAGTCAAAACACACTGGATTTGAAATGGGCGCATCACTTACTTTTCTACACTGCTTTTGCCAGCCGACGACGCGACGGGTACAGCTGATTTCGCAGTGGCGCCGGCCGGCGGGTGGTTTAACGACAACAAATGCGTTATTCTCCATTCAAATTACTTTTGTCGGGAATACCTTTTTTGTTTGATTATCGTAGATGTTTTAAAAATAATTATCACATTTTTAATTTATATGTCTTAGATATAGTATTGAAAATAACATAAAAATATTATTATCAAAAAAAAAAAAATACAATTTGTTGTCACAAACAAATAAACAATTTCGCAGTTACAGCTTGAAAATGATTTCAAATCAAACTAACTGACCGTACGTTCATGAGATTTGACGTCACGCAGCCGATAACGGTGAAACTAAATGCCAATGATGAGTAACACGTTTAACTATTAGATTTCAGTATCTTTTAGCAATTTTCTTTAAAGTTTGAACACGTTTTTCTTGATTATTACTGGACATAAAAATGTGAAAAAAAATCAACGATTACAGAAAAAAAATTCTTTTAAGTGATGGGCGTAAAAAGTTTGGTTATAATAGAACGTTAAACTGCATAATCCGATATTTCAAAAGAACTTTCAAAAAAATTAAAAAAGTAAAACCATCAGTTTAAAGGCAACATCATTTTAAATAACGTGTCCAAATTTCGAGACATTTTGTCGGTAAATAACAGAGAAAACACTGTATGTAGGTTTTGGTGTATCGATAAAACAGCCTTAAGTGTTTTGCTTATTCCAATTCATAAGCATGAATTTTAAAAGATAATTGCTCACTCTTGCGAAGGCGTTATCAGAGATAGCTGCCTCTAGCTTTTGTCCAAATTTCACGTCGAATTTGTGAAGTTTTCTGTTTTTGCCCCTTTTCATGGACAATATGTAGTGTATCGTGGCAGTTAATGGTTCAGTTACAGTTTTAACTAAGGATTGGAAGAATCGTTGTTTCCATCCTCGTTTTGTTTCTCCCTGGTTGCCATCCCAGGCTTTTTGGCAGTTTGGAGATGAATTTGTTCGTGTGTTCGTTACACAGAGAGTGAAGCCCAGTTCTACCCCCAGAAGTTTTAGTTATTCCAGTTATAGTTCCAGAAATAAATTACCTATACAGCGAAATCCAGGTAACTCTTTTGTGATCAAATTTTAAACTAAAGACAGACATTTTTTTTCTAAAGTAATAATATTAGTTTAATTAATATTAGTTTGTTTTGTTTTTAAAGAAGGTTAACCTCCATTGCAGTAACAATTTCTTTGTAAGTTATTGTAGTATCTTTGATATAAATTTGTGTAACTATCTATATAGTAATTCGTGCCATTTAATTTTGTATCTGTTTGTGGTGAGACACAATAAATATTAAAATTTTTTTTTTAATACATTTTGTTTATTTCTTTTAACTTACTCTCTAACCCCTTTTTTGAGTTTTATTTGAAAATATATATTTTTTATTTCTAATGATTATTCCAGTAATTACAACTAGCTGTTGTAATCGTTATAATTTGGCACCTCGAAGCGGTGTCCTTTTTAAATTGCTAGAGGTGTTTCCTTTTGTTTTGTTTATTCCAAGAGACTTGTTATACCCGTTTGTTTCATTTTTGTAGTTACCCCTTGTCAATCAACTTATTCACGACCCCAGCTCTCCAAACAAACCCTGAGTGCCGTTAGCACAAGTATCGTTTTATTTTGCTTGCCCTATCTCCACCCCTATAGTTTTAGTCCCCAATTTTCCACCCCTTATAGTAATACCCCATGTCGTAGGCAAAATATATTCGTTACAAACTAATTCTATACTATTTCCATAGGTAAATGCTATAAAAAAATCTTTACCAATATACTGTACTATTTCTACCACTCTCTAGCAACTTAAAAACAAAATTAGATTTTTTGAAAATTGTTTAGTGGAACCTTGCTTTCCGAGACCCCTGTAAGTTCACCAAATAGTCTATGTATTATTTTACCTACGATCTCATACAATTTTGTCTAGAAATTTAGAATTTAATGTAGAAAATGAATTACTTACTTGTAGTTTCTAGACGTTTTAATGTTCGCCCTGTGGGTAAGTAGACCTTCCTCATGAAATATAGGGAAGAAAATATTACTGCAGCGCAAGCCAAAAAGGATAATTTTATTAACGAAATCATTATTACAATGCTAGTTAGCACAAAGGCTACCTAAAACAGAATATTTCAATACATTGTATATTTGGTCACAATTAGACGCGGAACACTTATCAAACTTACCCTCATAAATTCGCTTATAACAAAAGCAACCTGTTCATCGACATTACTCAAATCTTGAGAACATCTATTCAAAATATTTCCCAAGAAATGCGTATCAAAAAATGACATTAAGGAACCAGTTAGTTTAGAAATAAGTGTTTTATGTAAATTGATAGAAGCTCTTCGTCCGAGTTCCAGTATTGTGTAAGTGCTGACTGTAGCTAAAATGGCATGAAGGAATATAGTTGTCGAATATATTTTTATTATATATTCACTATGTTCTACAGCTTTGTTATAAGTATTGTTGTGTGTTACATTTTTGAAAGTTAGGACTATCTGTTGCTGATCTACCCTAGAATGATATAAGGGAATATAAGTATATTAATTAAGATGAAGTTAATAACATAGAAAAAGTTGGAAAAAAAGAAGTATTCTTGAAGTGTGTAAAAGATTTGAATTCCTAACTGAGCGCTTTCGACTTACAAAGATATCTTCGGAGCTATGCTATAAGAGAGCAGTGATGTAAATAACTAATTTTAATTTAACAATGATCGTTACAAAATATATAAAATATTATGCGCACATCTCTAAAAGAATTCTGACAATGACTGTCACAGTATATGGCATCGAAACAATATTTGTTGGAGTTATGTGCCAACAGAAGATTCAAATCAACAAGTGAAAGATTCCTTTTATGAAGAGTTATCAAAGATTTGTGATAAACTAAACAGTCATCAAGAAATAATACTGTGAGTCGACCTACATGTGAGAGTAGGTTCTCAAATAGACGATGACGTGGTGGGACGATACGGAGAAATAGTTAAAAATGGTTCGGAGGACAGCTTAATTGAGTTTTGTCAACTTTTTGGTTTAAAAATAATGAATACCCAATTCCAACATAAAGATATTCATAAATACACTTGGGAACGAACTTCGATCAGAATTCGATCATATACTATATAATATTGAAACCTAAATCAAAATTTAAAGCCAAGACTTACCAATTAAAAAGAGGATTTAACTGTGGGCCAGATCACTACTTTTTTTTAACTAATCCTTTGTGCCCCTTTCAACAATACTACAAACAGAGTACCGAAAGTGAGAGAAAATTACTACACAGTACAAAACGGAGAGATATAAATTGCACCTTTTATTCAACCAAGTATTAAACATCTTTTTCAATCTAGATTAAAAAAGGAACTAAATGAGATGGAAAGAAATATTAATGCAGAATAAGAATACAACAACCTCAATACGATAATAAAAAAAATTGCTTATGAAGTATTAGAAGCAGAGAACGACAAAAAACACCATGAACCACCATGGATGACAGAAAACGTAAAAGAAATGATACAAGAAAAAAACAAAATATATAAGAAATGGTTAACAAATAAAACATCTAAATAGTAATAGAGTAACATATCAAAGGAAAAGCGGAGAAGTACGCAATAAACCAAAAGAAGCAAAAAACAATTTCTGGAAATTAAAATGTCTCTAAGTTAAAAATTTAATTGGTGGTTCTCAGACTATAGAAGCATGGAGAACTATCACTGATCTAAAGAAGAACACCCATGATTCCTTAAGCAACTAAATTTCTATAGAAAAGTGGGAAAATCGCTATAAAAATTTACTCCAAGAGTCCACATTGGAATATATGGGAGAGGAATACAGTATGGAGAACAAACAAATAGTAAGATTAATACTACTAACAACGAGGTCCGTACTGCGTTAATTAAAATGAAAAATATCTCCAGGACCTGGAAATATAGCTGTAGAGTTACTTAAAGCAGGAGGTCCACTCCAAATAGAACGAATAACTTTTCTAATGAATTAATGCTGCCAACAAATTAAAGTACCATCTGAATGGAAAACCGCTCACCAAGTGTCCATCTTTAAAAAGGATAATCGAAAAGACCCAACTGCTACAGATGATTAAGTGTCCCACCTACTTTCGAGAGATTGTTTGGAAAGATAATAAATGGAAAAATACAAGATAATTGTAGGACATCCAATTAGCGAAGACGAAAGTGGACTTACGCCTGGTAGATCTTGCACTGATAACTTGTTTACACTCCAACACTTAATAGAAAAAAAAAAAAAAAATAGCGGTTGGTACCGAAGTACATCTAGCCTTCATCGACCTAGAAAAGGCGTATTATACAGTTCCAAGACTTGAATTGTGGCAAGCTTTACAACAACTCGTCATTAGTCAATACCTTTTACGAATAACCACAGAAGTATACAGGGATAATACTACTAAAATCGGAAATAGACTATCAGAGCCAATAAAAGTAACTAAAGGACTAAGACCAGGATGCAGTATGTCACCCTTACTGTTTAATTTATATATTGAAGCAGCCCTCCAAAACTGGAAAAACTACTGTCAGGGAATGGGAATCACCGTAGGAAATGACGTACTGTTCTCCCTAAACGTTGCGGATGACCAAGTCGTCCTAGCTCAAGATTCTTATGATTTAGAATTTATGATTAAGCATCTATACAGAAAATATGTAAAATGAAGAGAACAGAATATTTAGTTATTAATTCAGATGCAAGATTTGAAGTATTGATAGACGAAGACGTGAAAATCAAACAAGTGGAAAATTTTTAATATTTAGGTGCACTCATTGATAAAAACGGCTTGAGGGAAACCGAAATTAAACACCGGATTAATCAGGGACGTAAAATTGTAGGATGTCTGAACTCCTTATGGTGGGATCGCAACATTTTTAAAAGAATCAAAAAAAGAATATGGCAAACCATGCTTGAATCAGTTCTTTGTTATGGCTATGAAGTGTAGACAATTAATGCAGACCTCAAGAGAAGATTGTTGGCATTTGAAATGGATAATTTAGGAAGAAGTGCTTAGAACATCAAGGCTGGAAAGGAAGACCAACGAATCTATAAGAACTAACATGAATGCTACAGAAAAGGTCATTGACAGAAAAGGAAAGAGCTTTAAAATGGTTTGGGCACCTATTGTGAATGCTTGACAATCATTGGTCCCAAACATTTCATAGATGGAAGCCCCCTGAAAGAAGAAGTATATACAAGTTGGATCCTGTAATGTATATATATATATATATATATATATATGAAAGTAAAAGATTGCATTTCATTTCAATCGGAACTCCACCATTGCCCGACACGTGTTTCGGGTTATTCCCATCTAACCCATCGTCAGGAGCACTTGTGGAAGTACAACTGAAATGAAATGCAGTCTAGTATTTGGTCATTATAACTAAAATAACAGCCAGGGTACGCTAGCAGCGACATCTATACGAAATAACAAGAAGTTGAGAGACCTCTCTGATAGCAAATTAGGTGAACCGCAAATTCAAAGCCGTTTGAATTTGTGGCAGTCGCGGAGGTGGCAGTTAAAGAAGAAAGAACGTCTGCAGGTCTGTCTCACTTTCAGCGATAATGACTGTATCCTCAGCATAACGGATATTATTTATATTTTCACCATTTATCTTGATCCCTTCTGTACAGTTTTCAAGTGCTTGTGTAAATAACTCTTCGAAATATATATTAAATAGTAATGGTGAAAATACACAGCCCTGTCTCACTTCTTTACTTATCTGTTGCGCATCCGTGCTATTTCCATCTAACGTTACCACAGCCTGTTGGTTCCGATTTTCTCACTATATTAAAGTCATTTTTGGTGAGTCCTTTTCTCTTTAGACATTCAATAAGAATGTTACGTTTAACTTTGTTGAAAGCTTTCTCATAGTCTATAAACGCAACGAAAAGATCTTTTTGTTGGTCTCGACATTTTTGGGCAAGAGTTGTGAAACTATACAGAAGTTCCACTGTTCCGAAGCCGTTACGAAAGCCAAACTGTCTATTACTCATATATGCTACACACTTTTTTTAAGCTTTACTAAGATGTAAATTGGAGCTGGAGGGTCCGACAATAGAAGAAGTGATGAAATTTAAATACTTAGTCATCACATTATCTAGCTACGAAAGCTTGAAACTAAAGTAAAAGATCAAGTGGATAGAGCAAACAGAGACGCAGGTTGCCTAAATAAAACAATATGGAGAAACAAAATATCGGGAAACAAATAAACGGTAGAATTTACAAACCGGTCATTAAAATAATAGTGACATATGCGGCAGAAACACGACCTGACACAGGGAGGTCAAAAATGATGTTAGAAACAGCAGAGATGAAAACAATTAGAAAAATTGATGGCAAGACACTATAGCACAGAGCTAGAAGTACAGATATACGACGCAGATGCAAGGCGAAGAACATCAAGAAATAGAAGAGTGTTAATTGTTTTCTATACTCAACAAGATACATCAATAATTTATTCTTTTCATTCCATGTATGATTTTAATTAAGTGTACTTATAATGCACATTTTACTTACCACCTTGTTAGTAGGTAGTCGGATAAACTTTCCGCGCCTTGTGTCACACCAAATAAAAATATATTAAAAATGAGAAAGAGTATTCCTCCTCCATATACCAGATACTGATTGTAAATCGACAAAGATACTTTGCCCTTTTTTATAATTTCTCCATATATTTTCGGCCTTTTGGTCTGTTCTGTTTCTAAAAGCTTTTCATCATCACGATATTCATCGTCTTCATCATTTAGGTAATCTTTCTCATTGTTTACGTGGTTAGTTTTATTATCATTATCTTGACTTTCATCACTAACTTCATTGCTTGTTATAATAGTTTTTAGTTCTTCTATATTTTTTTCGTCTGGTTTATCAATCAATTTTATTTGACCATTTTCCATAATTACCAAGTTTTCTGCATTTTTTATTTGATTTAAAGTTTGTGTCACGAGAATACATATTTTTCCATTCAAAAACTTTTTTATACATTCATTAAATATATAGTCTTGTACTTGACTATCCAGAGCTGTCAGAGAGTCATCCAATAAATATATTTCACTTTCTTTATAAACTGCTCTGGCGAGATTAATGCGAGCTTGCTGACCCTTGCTGAGATTCATTCCTCGGTCACACACTATCGTCTCGTCCCGTTTCTCGAACATTTTGAAATCGAATTCTAATGCACAAACTCTAATAGTTTCCAAATACCTATAACATAAAATAAATATTAACATATACGGTAATTAAACAAAAAAAAAAAAAAATAGAAAATAGCGTCGAAGACATGCTGCCTAAGCAGTGTTGCTATATTTCTGTTACATCTTTTAAAATTTTAGTCTGATATATATATATATATATATATATATATATATATTATATATATATATATATATATATATATATATATTTATATATATATATATATATATATATATAACAAGCGAGTCTTCTACAGCTGGCGCAGCTTCTCGCATCCTAATTTCCAGCGTTTTCTGTCGAAGCAATCTTCAGTTGTTAGATCTCTGGCGGTCATTGCATCTTCGACATCGTCTCTCCAGGATCGTCTTGGTCTACCTCGTTTTCTTCTAGTTGGCGGAGTCCATTCTTCTATTTTTTTTTGGCCATCTATTTTCCGGCATTTTCTGAAGGTGCCCATACCTGTTAAGTCTTTTGGCTTCGATTGTGTCTATTATGTCTAGATCGATTTCCATTTCTCTCCGAATATCTTCGTTTCTCACCCTATCAAGTCTGATGAGCTGGCAACATTGTCTCCAGTAGTTCATTTCCATTGCCTTAATTTTTGATTTGTTTCTTTGGTTTATTTCCCAAAGTTCGGCGCCGTACAGTCCAATACTTTCTATTATTGTTTTATAAATTCTTCTTTTATTTTCTTTTGTTATTTTTTTTATTCCATAATAGTCCGTGTAGCTGTCTGGTGGCTGATCTTGCTTGGCCAATCTTGGAATGTATTTCTTCGGTACTTCCTGCTTTTGATGTTATTTGGACTCCCAAGTACTTAAAAGTGTCTGTTGGTTTTATAGTTCCCATTTCGATTTGTAGGCTTTCTGGTTTTTCTCCTACAACTAAGTACTCAGTTTTTTGTATATTAATTGTGAGGCCCCATTTGGTGTACTCATATTCCAGTTTTCTAAGCATGTAGCTTATATCACTCTCGTCTTCAGCTAGAATGGCTTGGTCGTCAGCGAAATGTATCGTGTACAATCTATCATCTCCGATTGGGATACCCATATTGCAGCACTTTCTTCTCCACAGTGAGAGTGCCTCATTTAAAAAAAAATTGAAGAGTGTAGGTGCTATGCAGCAGCCTTGCTTTAGGCCCTTACTAATAGGAATTTCTCTAGTTAATCTATTTCCAGTTTTAATGTTTGCCGTCATATTTTTGTAGAGCTGTTGTACTGCTTGTATATTTTTTTTGCTTATTCCTTGTTTTTCCATTGCTACCCAAAGCATTGAAAGTGGTACACTATCGTATGCCTTTGTCAGATCTATAAAGACTATATGAGTTAAAAGGTTGTGGGCTAATCTCTTCTCGATAACTTGCTTTAGAGAGAATATACTGTCCATGCAGGATCTGCCTGCACGAAAGCCATTCTGTTCTTCTACATCTGTCATCTCTTTTTCAATTTTATTTTTTATTATTTTTCCATACAGTCTTGAGTCCGATATATAAATGTAAAATAATATTTAAATCCACTGCAGTTCACTGTAAAATAAAAATTATTATTGTCCCAAAAAGCATTTTAATAAAGCAGCCATGTAATTGTTATTTTCTAATCGATTCTAGAATTAACTCAACAATAGAACAAGAAAACCGGGAATACTGAAAGATGCAAATGGGAAACTTGTGTTGAATACTAAGACAAATTAAAGATATGAACAGAATACATCAATGAACTGTTCAAAGACAATAGAACAGAACAGATGGAGATAGAAGTAGAAGAGGATATGGTTTTAAAGATATTAAAAGTGGAAATTAAAATGGCATTAAAAAACAGCAAAAATGTTAAAGCATTAGGTCCAGACCAAATCCCTATAGAAATCTTAAAATGCATGAATGATGAAACCTTAGACAAATAGTAGACTTATTTAACTCAGTATACAAAACTGGACACATACCAAAACAATGGTTACTCTCCACCTTTTGTGCTATCCCTAAAAATGCAAACTCTAAATATTGCAGTGAATACAGAACAATATCACTAATAAGTCACAATCTCAAATTATTTCTGAAAATAATACATGGTCGTATAAATAAAAAATTTGAAGAATAGATGATAGTCAGTTTGGGTTTAGAATCGGACTGGGAGCGAGAGAAGCGTTATTTGTCTTTAATGTGTTAGTTCAAAGATGCATGGATATGAATGTTGATGTGCATGTTTGTTACGTTGATTTTGAAAAAACATTTGACAAAGTTAGGCAGTAATGTATTATGTCCCCATTACTATTTAATGAATATAGTGAAGCCATTTTTGAAGAAGCATTACTATCTCAAAGTGAAGAAATAATAATTAACGGAAGAGCTATTAACAATATAAGATGTGCAGACGACACCGTGATTATGACAAGCTCTGCTGAACAACTCAACAATTACTGATAAACAAAACAAACAGTTTCTGTGACAAATATGGACTAAAAATAAATATAAAACGACCAAATACGTGATAATAATAAAGAAAACAAATATACCAACAAACATACATTTGGGAAATGTACCGATAGAAAGGGTTGATAAATACAAATAGCTAGGAACCTGAATTTCAGACAATAATAATCAAACAACCGAAATAAGAGCTAGGATAGAAATAGCAAGAAATGCGTTTGTAAAAATGAAACCAATTCTCTACAACAAAGATCTTAGATTAGAACCACCGTAAGAGCATTGAGATGCTACGTGTTTTCGATAGTGCAATATGGACTTGAAAGCTGGACATTGAAGCAGAACACATAAATAAGTTACATTCCTTTGAAATGTGGTGTTACAGGAGGATGCTTACAATAGCATGGACACAGAAGAAAACTAACACGGAAGTATTGCGAGAAAAGGGCAAAGAATGCGAAATATTAAACACAATAAAAATAGGAAAGTTACAATATCTGGGACACGTAATGAGGGGATAGCGATATGAACTGCTAAGGCTGATAATACAGGGAAAGATAAGAGGAGTGAGGAGTATAGGAAGAAGGAGAGTGTCATGGTTGAAGAATTTAAGGGACTGGTTTAAATGCAGTTTTATAAAACTCTTCAGAGCAGCAGTAGATAAAGTAAAGATAGTGATGATATCCAACCTCCGATTGGGAGACGGCACTTAAAGAAGACGAATCGATTATATCAATTAATTAATTAGTTAGCAAAGATAATTGATTTAAGGGATTGATGTGTAGCAACAACGCATTGTTTCCCTGACGAGTTGTAAAATTTTAAGCAATGTCTTCCTTTACAGTGCGAAGTGCCAAGATAATGCCGGTTAAATCCGAATAAATCCGGCATTCAGTAATTGTCAGACACCGACGAAAAGTGTGTAGTCCTTTGCATCAAATTATTTCGTCGCCAACTTTCCGTCGGAAAACCTTCAGAAAAACTCGAACTCTTATATTCGACTTTTAACTGCAATTACTGCAGATTTTTAGCTGTGTTAGCTTGAAAATAAAACAATAAATAACTTAACATTAATAAAACATAAATAATATTTTTATGAGAAGTAAATTAAAATTTAAAATGGCATATAAAAAAAATTAACAAATTAAATGTTCGAACAAACTACAATTTTGCCCAAATTTAATTCGAATCTATCAACTAAAGCAAGTCTTATTGCATTCAGCTAAATTTGGCTGTACCCGACTATAGAGTTGAACAATTTTTTCTTGCAATTCTGCTAAATTGTTATCTCGTTCGAACTTATACCGATATAATTTTCATTTTAGCATCCCCAAAAATAAAAATCCAAATGTGCTAAATCTGGTGATCTAGGGAATATTTTATTGTTCCTTATGTAGAAATTAAACGTCCAGGGAATGTTTGTTGCAAATAATTTGTAAATTCGATTGCATTATGTGCTGGGCAACCATCCTGTTAAAACCAGACATTATCGAAGTTCACCGCAAGGTTTCGAACTGCTGGAGTAATCTGATAACAAATCTAGATACTTACGTCGAGACTTTTAGATTTCCCGTAATAAAAATGGACCAATTATATTGTCATTTAAAGTCCAGTCTACACATTTAATTTCTTTGGGTATTGTGTTTTCATAGCAATACTCAAATGTTTATTTTCCCTAGACCAATAGCTGACGACAGATGGATTATGACGTTTATGCATTGTGATTCAAGATTCATCGGAAAACAAAATACTTTTAAAAAAGTTATTGTTGTCATTCGATTTCTTCATTATAGTTTCACAAATATGATGGTTTACGTATCATCTACGTTTAAAATAATCACCTGGAAAAAGTTCTTGGGTGGTTTGCACTTTATAGCAATTATATTCATTTCGATTTAAAATATTTCTTACAGTTCTCTAATTTAGGCCATCTTTATCCTCAATTTGTCTACTCGAAGCAGGTGTTTCTTCAGCAGATAAAACAAACTTGCAATTCGCGAGCTTCGCGCTCAACAGAGATTTGTTTCGATCGTGGTTGATTCGTTAAACGACATTTCTTACAGGTATTTATGCAACCAAAATTTTCAAAGTTTTTAATAATTGATCGTATTGTTTTCTCTTTCGGAATTGGGCGATTTTCAAAAGCAGCAATAAAATATAGCAGCAACTGTATTATTTCTACAATAGAATGGTTCCCATAATACCATTTCACTATGTGAATCTTTTCTTCTCGAAAATATACGCTTGGCATTGTTAATTGATTGTTTTTAACCTTTTACCACCACAGCTAAAAATCAAATACATAGACCATAAAACCCGCTGCACAGGTAAGCACCGTCTATTCTTTCGAGGAGAAATCATGAGGAGATAAGTTTAGCTGGAAGGATTTTCATGCAGACTAGTGTTATTTCCCCAGAACGACGGGTGTTTTAAGAGTTCAGTAACTGGTAGTATTAATTCATTGACTTTGAATTAAATATTCACATCTTCTGTATGTCTCATATCAGATTTCTCCAAGGTTAAGTATCCAAAGTTAGGTGTTTGAGTTATTAGTGAACCAGTTTAGAAATATTTTTTAGCCAATGTTCAATCACAAATTAACCCCTTAATTTGTAATCTCACATTATTCTTAACTTCTTACTCTTTTATAGTTTTACCTTGTATAAGTGAGACATTGTAAAACCATATCGTACATTTTAATAATTAGTTAATTAGTTAATAAAGTTTGTTGGTATGGTATGATAGAAAGCAATAACCTCTGTGCTGTGGTATGAATTATTTGTGAGATTATAAATTGGGGATTTGAGTTCATGTGAGCACAGTCTATCATAAGTAGTTACCTAACGAACATCATATTGTGTCATTACTAGTAGCTGTCAATAAAATCAACAATTTTACTCCACAACTTCAACTTTTTATTATATTTATCATCGTCGATCGACAAGAAGCGGACAAAGGGGCATTTACAAACAGATTCGAACCTCATAACTACATTCGAATCTTTCCAGCCAAGAAGCTCATTTTCTGCCTGTGCACCTTCGATCTCCTATTTTTTGCTTGAGAATAGTCTGTATTATGTGTTATATATGTACTTACTCTCAATATAGAACTCAAATAAGATATTTGCCTACATTACTTAATTGATTGAAATAAATACATAAAATAAAATAAATACTATAAAAAAATGTATGATGATATAAAAATGTAATAAAAATAAATACCTTTTTTCATCAAATTTTTCCCCAAATATAATGTTTTGCTTAATGGAGGATGGAAACAACCAAGGATCTTGCGAAGCATATGAAATTCTTCCTTTAGACAATATGCAACCTTTGTCTAAAGGATAATCTTGTAGCAAAGCTTTTAATAAAGAGCTTTTACCTGATCCCACTTTACCTGTCACCAAAGTCAAACCAGGCTTTGCTTTAAAATTAATATTATTTAGAATAAGATTGTTATTTATTGTAACATCAGCTTCTCTGAGTTCCAAAATCGGTTCGTTGGTTGGTTCATCAGATCCTATTTTTGGTGGAAGTTCTTCTGCGGTTATTACTTGGTTAATTCTCCTCAGTGCTGAGTAAAGCTCAGCTGCACTACCTAAGCCGTAGGGAATAAGGCCACCCAGGTAGTACTCTATATCCTTAAACATTGTGCTTAAGTAAAAGATGAGCTCGGTATCGGTTGCATACCCAAACCAAATGTAAGCCATAACAAGAGTGTAGAATCCAAATTTGGAAAATAAGATGCCCACAACGATTTGGATCATTCTTAGTTCAAAAACGATTAATATTTTGTTTGATTCCTGCCTAAAACACAATATTAGTTTATTTAGAACAATAACTTAATTGACATATATTTTGACTGTTTAAGATTTTATATTTGTGGTTTAAAAAAGATCATCAGAAACTCCTTTACTGTGATTGACAATTCTACTTAAGAACGAAGTTTATTGTACCAACATATAAACACGTGCCTTTTGTGGGATTTAGCAAGGTTCTTCGAAATAGGTCGTCATTGTTACTATTTTAATGTTAATATCTACTTTATATTTTTAAACAAACTGTTGCTAAACACTAAACTTTCAGAAGGTGTTAAGTTTAAATAGCTAGCTAGAAAGTATTGGGTTTCAGATATTATGCTCTAAGAGAACTTTATAATGATTTCAATTAATAGATTAAATTAATGAACTATTTATTGATTATATGAATTTTAAAATTATATTGATTAAATAATCAAAAACAATATTAATAATATAAATTTTAATGAAATAACCCTTTAAGTCATTAGACTTATTAAACAAAATAATAATTTTAATAGATTAGACAATTGTAGGCAACTGATACACGAATACTTCAACACCGAACAACCCGAAGGTGCGCTCCGATAAATTTACATTGGTAGCTGTCAGACAAATTCGGTGACCTTGCGCCATTTTTTTAAATAGGATGTCAGTGGTTACGATTGCACAAAATCAAATTATTAACGAAACAGATAATGTGATCTGACATCTGACAAATCGTCCAACGACGTGACTAAATTTTAAAACGTAGCCGATGACAATGCGCAAACGAGATGCGCGAACAATTACCGCCGAGTCGAGTGCACCTTCGGGTGGTTCGGCGACTTCAAATTCAGCGTGTGACAAAATTGTTTAAATGTTGTCACTTTTTTAGAGTAAGATTGTTGTTTATGTTTTGATTTTTTACACAATTTGTTCATAATATATTATATATGTAAAACATTTTATTTATAAATACATATTAAATTTAGATTTATAGCTTTAAAAACTAATTATTGTTATGCATTGTGATTGTGCTATACCAAAACAACTAAATATTCTGTAGAAAGCTGATAAGCTTTCATATAAGATAGATTATTTTGAACAAGAAATAATGGCGGGATATTTTTACTATTAATGCTATAAAAGAGGTAAGTTTAAAATTTAGAATATTTAATTTTGTATCAAAATGTTTTCTTATGTATTTTAGTGTGTTGCCTAGTCTTAAAAACTAAGTGTATTTACTGTTAATATATTAGTTTGACAAATAGATGATATTTTAAAAATTCCTCACTAACTATTCTGATGTTTTGACAATGCTGTGAGGTTCTGAAGTCGTTAATCTTGAATGATGTGCAATCATTTTTATATGAAAAATTCTATAGATGAATGTGTGTTGGATTATCTACCAAACAGGTGAAATGAAATAAATTCATATTATATTTAAATAAATAATTGGTCAACAAAAGACGTTGTACACCGTATAGTAGCCGACCCCGCATTGGTATAAAGGCAAAGAAAATGATGATGACGTAAATTTCCTTTCTTAATTACACTAAATTAATATGCTTACTTGTTAGTCGTCATTTAATAACTGCATATCCAAATAATATAGTTGTGTAATTTTGTTTAGTGTAACTAGTATTGTTAGTCTAAATAATGAAAAAAGAAGTAGTATTCTATTTTATCACATTCTAGTTTAATATCACTAGGTATATTATTGGCTATAACTCCAGAAGAAAAAAAAAACATTAAAGAACTTCATTACACTATAAAAACAACTTACTTTCTTGCTTTTTTAATTTTATTTTCGAAAAACTTTTCCAAGTGTACATCTTTATAATTCTTATTGTAGATAATGTTTCTTGAGTTTGTTGTAATCGTTCGTCAGTCTTCTGTCCTGTACTATATCGATAGTCTCCTACTACTTTACCGATATAAACTAAAAAAAGGCACTATATTTAAAATAATATATTTTCTAGTGATTTTTTGTGTTTCGTCGCGGTAGAACATATATTGTAGAACAATCTAATATATATATATATATATATATATATATATATATATATATACACATATATATATATATATATATATATATATATATATATATATTATATATATAAGTATATATATATATATATATATATACGTATATATATATATATATATATATATATATATATATATATATATATTATATATATATATATATATATATACGCTTCAAAGGGAGAGACGTTTGTAGCATGTTGAAAATTATTTAAACTATGTAATATTTATGTATAAAATTTTCTAAGTACGTCCCTGACCCAAGTATAATATTTCGCGAATTCTGTTTATTTGTGTGATGTAAAAGACAAATATGTTTTTATTCGTTTATACGTGTGTATTTCTACAATTTTAAAAACTGAAAGTGATTATTTAAGGTGTTTTTCGAGAGGTTGTTTTGCGAGGTAGTAAAAGTGGTTTAAAAGAAAAATTTTGTTTTATTCCGTGGAAAGAAGCGGTGAAGATGTAAGGGCAACGGTAGCAACGGTAGCCACTGCCGATATCGGGGGTCAAAATGAATTCAAGTTTAGGTTAAAAGATTTGGTCAAAGAGAACGGTCACTATGTAGTTTGTTGAACAATTTGTTGAAAATAGTAGACTATACTCTATGTAATGTGTCAGTTAAAAAAAGAGTCACCTTTATTTCTATTTTTTTTTGAAGTACCTAAGAGATTTATGTCGTTTACAACAAATTTGAAATATGCCCACATTGTTCCAGTCCTTGTAAGAAACAGAGTTTCAAATTTTCTGTTCAGTACCGACTTCAACCTCAAATAGTTAGTCCTATCGCAGTGTGAGATGTAGTTTTTTGTTCCAGTGACAGAAATTTTAGTAATTCCTGTTCCTAACCCCAGAAATTTAAAGTTATACAGTGAAATTTAGGTAACTTTTTTGTGATCAAATTAATGGAAGTTGACTACTACAATTGAAAACTCTTCTATGTCTTTCAGCTGTTCTTATTAGCTGTTCAAAATTAAAACTGTCCATTGTCGGATATTTCTTAGTCACAATAATCGTTTCCTTCCCAGTCTTCTCTTTCCCATCTTTCCTTTCACTATTAGTTAAGCATATTGATACTTATTATTACTCAATACGTGGCCTAGGTATGATGTTTTCCTAACTTTCGCTGTGTTGAAAAGTTCTCGTTCCTTGCCTATTCTCTGCAGCACTTCTTCTTTTGAGGTATACGATTTCCATGAAATATTGAGGATATTCTGATAGATCCACATTTCAAAGGCCCTTAATTTATTTACCATTGATGTTTTAAAGGTCAACGTTTGAACTACATAGATAAGAGTAGAACAGACGTAACATTTTGATAAACGAAGTTAAATTTCGAGTTTTATTCGAGAATCATATAGGAGTCCCTTGATCTTTTCGAAAGATTTTCTGGCCTGTTCTATTCTTAATCTTATTTCTAGATCAGGATTTATCTACTAGTGATAACTTATCACATCCTAAAATGTGCCGGTTTATTTTCCAAAGTTGAGGTACATTTTAGTTTTCTGGGATTGACATCACATTGATTTTAAATTCCACCGATTTCAAAGTCTTTTAACAAATGTAACGAATTTTAACGTTCCAACAGTGGTTTACAATTCCAGAAATACGACACGAAGACAATAATTACGAAGAAAATGAATAACATAAAACAATAGAGCTAAAGGTTTATTTATAGCCATTTTACGAGTTCCGAAAACAAATAAAGCTTATTGATCCACTTCTTGGTAGACATTAAAACATGTTTTTTTTCTAACGAATTAGCGAAGAGATTTAGTTTAACGGTATATACTTCAGTAAACAGAAATATTTTAATTACATATTTAATAATTACAACAATCTGCCACTGCACTTTATCTTAACCCTTTCACTCCTCATTTGTTTATTTTAAAATTTGATATATTTGTCTGTAGTTTGTTGTTCTAGAGCATTTAAAAGAACTAAGAATGTATTTAAAAATTTTTATTTTTTATAAAAAAGAGAAAGGTATATTAGGTCCGCCCTTTATATTGCCGAAAATACATGAGTGGAATTAATAAAAAAGGGGAAGTTCAACGTTGCCAAACTTATTATTTTTATTTGACCTCTTGTCTTTTTAGCATTTGAACAATGTTCTAAGATATTCAAATGTGGGCGAAATGGATTTAAATGGCAGCTTATTGTTTTTTATTGAGAATATGCCACAATTTTACTTTACAATAACTGTAATATAACGTTTTGATTTCCACTTCGGAAATCGTTTTATATAAATAAATTTTATTAATGTTTAGTATTTTAAGGACGCTTTCCGAATTAAAAATCTAAACATCAAAATAAGCTTACACATTGTGCCTTATTCCCAATAAAAATAATAAACTGTATATGATGCCACAATAAAAAAGTTTCATACAAAATTATTTGGCAACGTCTCGTCTCGCCTCGTCAAAGCACCGAATCAAAGAAGGAACAGTGGTAACGAGTAGAGGTGGGTCGTTGACGTTTTTATCGTAAATGGAACTGAAACGATTTTCTTAAACAAGTAACTATGATTGTTTAATAGTAGTTTCAAGTAAGCGAGTACCTACATCAACAAACATAATGGCTATTATCGTTTGTGTGTATATTTATTGAAATTGTAGTGTTTTAAATTTTCATATTTAATATCTATATAATAGTATAAATTCTGTTTTAAGTTTTGTATTCAGTTGTTTCAAAATATAGATGTTTTTGTCTCTGGTACATTGTCAGGTAGAAAATTATTCCGGTTAAAACTAGGGACGTTAAAATAGTCGATAAAATGCGTGTTGTTTATTCTCTGTATGTATATTTCAAGATGTTTTTTTGTCGTTTCGTTGTTAGAACGAGTTCAGGAGGGGTATTATTGTTTGTTTAGGTTTTGTAGGCGCAACTTTTTCGAAGAAGTGAAAAGAATTGGGATTTACGTTGAAATTTTAAAACTGAGGCAGAGAGTCAGTCAAGCTGGATCATTCGAACGAGAGCAAAGCAAGAGATTTGAGACGAGAATGATGTTTGGGCGACTTTGAATCAACAGTCGATTCATCTTTTTTTTTTGTGTGTAATGTCTTAAGACCGGTTAAGGTGATATGATAATACTCTTTGCATAATGCAGTTTAGAAGAGAATAATCATCGAAAGATTTATGTAGTATACCGGAAACTGATGGAATTTTGAAAAGCAACATATAGGTTGTCCCACCGGCTTCGTTGTGTTTGCTTCACCACCAAACCTGATTTAGGTTTTCTGATCGTTCGTTCCTGAGTATGGAAATGGTTTCCTTTTGTTTCAATTGAGAGTTTTGTCCTTGCAGCTCCAATTCCAGAGATAGTAGCAAGTTTTTTTTTAAGTTAAGTGGCGAAATATGTGAAAATAAGAGGAGAAGAAATTTTCTTTTCTTCCAGCAGGAAGTTTTCTTCGAAGCGGCGTCCGAATATAAATAGCTACAGGAAACCTTGTCTGCCATATCTTGTTTCGTTTTTGTTTCAGGAGATTTATGTAAGTATCCTTTGTTTTCATTTTGTAGATACCCCAATCTGACCCATTTATTTCAACTTATCCACGACCCAGATCTCCAAAACAACCCCCTGAATGTCGTACGCATCAGTTACAAATATTTTGTTTGCCCAATCTTCTACCCCCATGTTCTCACCCTGAGGTAAGCAAAATATTTCGTTACAAAATGAAATAAACTAATGAAGAATATATTTATTATAACTTGAAAAATGATAATAGGTGGACCAAAAGACTCATAGAATGGAGACCTAGAGAAGACAAAAGACACCGATGCAGACAACCAAAAAGAAGGATGGACGACTTGAGAAAAACAGTCGGAAATTGGATACAGAAGGCGCAAGATAGAGAACAGTGGAAGAACATGGAGGAGACCTATATCCAACAGTGGATGCAAGAGGTTGAGGAATGATGATGATGATGAACTTGAAAAATAAACTAAACAATACAAATAGTAAATCGTACTTACGTTTACATTACACGTTATTAATAAATCGCGAATCGTCTAAATTGACATTTAAAAACATAAGTTTTTCTACTTTACTTCTTGTTAACCGTGTTCTTCTTTTATTTAAAATGAAACCAGATTTCGAACATGTTTTCACATTTACAATATTTTATGAATATAGTGATTAAGTTAGGATATACATGGCGATGATTTTTGCACCATTGTAATGGACTCTCGATAAAGGTGTACGTTTAGATGGGTCATGTTTAATTTATTGATCAAAAAAACACCATGGACTTAAGTCATCTTTATCGCTTTCTTTGTCTTGTACTTTTTGATTTTCAGTAGTACAATCTTCTTGTTCTTTAATTATAGAAGTAACTAGCTTCTTAACTCTTTCTTTTGTTTTTTAGCTTCATTTTTATCAGAAAATCCCTGCACTTTAAATCGTGAATCCATAAATGAACATAATGACAATGTGCCACTCTGTTCTATTCCTCTAAATCTTTCTGCTAAACCCGATATTAGTATTGTGTTATGTTGTAATTGATACTTTAAAAACCTTTCAGAAGATAAGGTACTTTTTTTGAAATGTGTTTTTTGCCGAATTGTCGAAAAAAATACTTTTTATTTTATCTATTTGTACACGACAGCATTTAAGTGCGTCCTCTACCAATAAATTTAACGTATGGGCAAAACAATATAAATGTTTTGCTCACTTCAAAAGCGATGTTTTCTGAATTATGGTTTCCAGAAAAATGGCAGCAGTCTAATAAAACCGTTTTAAATTCTAAATTTTTGGTTAAATATTGTCCTGTTAATGCGATGTAACTCTGAGTTACTTCAGATGTCCAGAGGTCAATAGTAATACAGATATCTTCTACTTCTTTAACAACTTGTGATCTAAAAATTTGCTCAGTTTTAGTATAACATTTC